TTTTTTTTTTTTTTTCCAAGGAGAAAGTCCCACTGGATGGCTTGTTGCACCTGTAACAATGAAGGCCTTTAACGATCTAAGCAAGCAAAATCAGGTTACACTGGACGTCACCTTACCTTCTCTCCATTCTCTATCAGCGTCCGATCCCAGGCATTAACTTGCGTAGCTTGATGGAGAAAGTGTTTCTCTTGGTCTTCCAGTTCCAGACTCCACTTGTTTATCAAACTCTCCAGCTGGGCATAAGTCATCACTGGAGGTGCGCTGAGAGGAAGTGTGAGACAGTACAGAACACAAGATCAAAAACCAAAATACAAACTTGACAACACTCATTTCACCTTCCTCCACCAGACACCAGCATTCTTGCCCCAGTCAGCAAATAGTCAGTTGTAACAAAATACTCACGTGGTTGTTGTTGTGGTTACGGCAGCTGTAGAAGTCCCAGCTCCAATGGCACCAGTTGTATTTAATGGCTTCATATTCAAAGCAAAGCCAGAAGCAGAAGTTGTGCCTGAAATGAGAGATTCAAGTCAAGCAACAGAAGAGAACACGTCTGCCATCTAACAAATCAAGAACAGGTCCAAGATACACTTCTAAGCACAGTGCTGTTCGAGCTCAAATAGGTCCCTTTAACAAAATACAAATCCCACATCTGTCAAGAAGGGAACAAAGCACATCTTCACACAAAAGTAGCAGACGCTAAATGCCTGACTAGTAGCTCTAGTAAAACGAGGAACTGTCAGCCTGCACTTAGCTTGGGCATTACTCAAAGCAGCACAGCATTAGCCCACACCGCTCCCGATCTTCTCATGTTTTAATATTAGACCTAATAACTATCAGCACGCCCAGTTCCTCTCCTGCATCTTTGCAGGAGATGAGATCTCTATGTTCTCACAAAGCTGAGAGCATCTATCTGCCAGTCACAGGCCACTTCTAGGCACTGAGCTCCAATTCTTTAGTCACTCCAGAAACAAGCTTTCCAATGACCCTGAGAAAAGGTCAAAGCCTACGGGCCTTCCGTCTCCCAAACTCCCTTTCCTGTGGACAGGCTCTCGGAAGCCATAAGCATCTGCATTTGGGGAGACGGAAAAGGAGGATCAGAGAAAGAAATACTGTGCTATTTTCAGTTACTGGAGGGCACTGGAAATCAGAACTGCTGTGCTGCTACACCAACGTGGCCCTTTACGCTACTACACGGCACTGAAGTCAGGCTTCCTTCTCGTCAGCTACTTTGAGCATCTAGTTCTTACTAGTGGCAGTGCTTGTTGCGGCAGCTGTTGTTCCAGGAACTTTTAACCCAAACCCAAGCGTTCCAAGACTGGCTGTCCCGGTGGAAGGGGCACCAACTGTAAACAGAAGAGAACATTAAGAGTTTGCATAACCTGTTAAATACAGTGCCCCTTTGAAAAGCTCTACCCTGCCTGCTCATCCATCTCCGTCTGGTCTTTATTTGTATTAACCAAGACCATCCAGACACGACACGAGAAAAGGCAGGCCAAAGCTATGATATAGCCAGAGTGCCCCACAATTCTTTCAGGAAACTTCAACAACCCAGGTGCCAAGCTACTGTCACTTCACCTATTTTGAAATATCATAGAATCATAGAATGGTTAGGG